GGGGGGGGGGGGGGGGCGCTGCCGCGGAAGCGACGCCGAGGCAGTGGCCAGTCATTTTGCCCCGGTTGACTAGCTCGTCTGGCTGCCACAGCCTCACGGTCTCGTCCAGTGATCCGGTTAACAACAAAGCAGGTCGGGTCTCGGTTGACGGGACCCATGTCACCGCCCATACTGACTCCTCGTGCGCGTCCTCAATTGATTTCAACCCTGCAAGCTTCATTGATAATTGGTTTGCTGAAACAACCCTAGTGTGCTTAATTCTTCAGTCCTCACTCCCCAATTTTCAGATCAGATTTTTATTTAGTGGTCACTGCATGCAAGCCCAATGATTAATCAGGGAGTCTGATAACACAATCATCAAATCTAGCATGCTGAGAAGTACATTGGAAAGCCAGCGAAATTCTAGCATGCTGATGGAAATAGCTAGAGGCACTTTATCGAGTACAATGTAAGAAGTTATCCATATAATAAACCGTCTTGGACAGAAACAGTGCATGAATGATGAAAAACACAATTTGATTTACAAGAACATTCCATAGTCCATGATAGGAAGATTCATATTTGTCACAGATAAACATTCAAGCACTTAAGATTGGCTAAAAAACAAGGTCCAAACAAGATTCTACATTTAAATATTGAACAATATCAAGCTGATGGTCTCAAATGTTTAATATGCTTTCCAGAGGATCATCTCTCTAGCTCAAGGTCATTCCTCAAACCCTCTGCCGAAGCATCTGCAATACCAACAAATATTGTCTCAGAGTTGGGAAGTAGCTAAACTATTAGACGCATCATGTTAATTTAGCTGGTTTTAGTTCCGAATAAGTGAAAATGGGGAGTAAAAAGTCCGGACTTGCCACACCCCAAAGTATCGGTTTCACAAAATTAGAATTTTACTTGAGAACCAATTTATCCCAGAAATTTTTTGTTCATGATCTGTGAGAAACCATTCATCTTTACTTGCTTACAGATCAAATAGAAAACAACAAATGCAAAAGTTGGAAGCTTGCACTATAGTTTGCAATTTCTTGTGGCTAAACAAGCCCTCCCTTATTATGGTTAAAATAATTCAGAAACCACCTTTCTCAGAGCATCCAAATCCATTCATAACAAATTATAGCATATTAAACAATCATTAGCTTCAAAACAAAAATTCGTAGGCAGCTATTATCTAATTAACAAAAATTCTAACTTCACAAACTAATTAAGTTATATACCCAAATCAACAACAATTCCAACCACACAACTACTTATTAAATTATATACCCAACCCATATAATAACAGAACCTTATTAAAAGAAAGAAGAAGGAAACCGTGAGCTGCGTAAGAAACCCCAACCAAATGAAACTGAGTGGCGACGGCGATGGTGCGACGAAGCTGGGTGCGATGGTGCGACGAAGCTGGGTGCGACGGCACTGGTGAGTTCTTCTCTTCCTTCTTCCTTCTTCCTTCTTCTTCTGTTTTGGTTGGCGCCTGATACCCAAAAGACCTAGCCTCTTGACATTGGCAGTCTTTGAAATTCTAAGTTTTTACTTTACATTTTAACCCCAAATATTTAATAACCTTCAAAATTACCCTCAAATTTTCCAAATATTTTCGTTTTTACCCCCCACTTTCAGCCTTTGGCACAGTCATATCAAATAAATTAAAAGGGCTAGCCTTTGGCACATGCGTGGTTTTCTTTTTTCTTTTTTATTTTATTTTTAAAATTAAAAAAAATAATATTGATAGTTGTGTTTTATAAAAGTATGAGCTATTATTTGATTTTATTTTTAATTTTAATATAAAAAATGCAAATTTACTATATAATCTTCATTTAATTAATAATTTTAATTATTAATGTTTGAATTAACTAATGATATTTTATATTATTTTGAATGTTTCATCATTCACTGTCTTTTGCTATATATACATATATATATATATATAT